ATACAGCTATGCCAATGTACGATGATTTCGGCATGCACAGACCTGTGATGGTGGGACGTCCGGTCATGATGGCTCCAATGATGTTTCGCCGACGGCGCCCTGTCGTAGTCATGACAGGGCCTCCTCGACACCACGGTGGATTCGGAGGGAGATATGGAGGCGGGTTTGGCGGGCCGGGATATGGGCGTCGATGCTAGGTGATTGAGGATGAGGATAACTTGTTGTCGTTGTCTGAGAGCCGACATCTATCAGGGGATGTTCTCCAAAAAGATTGTAATAGAAGTGCGTGGCTCCCAAGATCAGCGCCAGCCTACGTCATCTTCATCGCAGTGACTGGACAGTATTTCATAGAATCCAACATGTACAGCGTGCCATCCATGAGAAGAGCATGAAGCTAGCAGTGTATAAATAGTTCGTGATATTGTTGTTGCTGCGATGACGGGAAGTCCCCTAGCTCGTGAGAGTAGGGTTCTTACCTGGTTCGACTCGGGATCAAAACACTGACAGTATAAATGTCATGGTAACTCTATGGATTTTTTCCATTTCCTCTTTTGCTTTTAGTTTCCGTCTCTCAAACTTCTTTTACTCAGTGGCGCTCTTTTTCCTTGCGGAACCAACCACATCTGCCATTACGTGGGTTGCTCTTCTTTTGTGGTGGTGCCTTTGTTTCCTTCCCTCATTCATCCACTCCCAACTTAATCCCCAGTCCTTCTGGTATACCCTCGTCTCATTACTGCCATATAATAGGACAACTTAAGTCCAATACTCTTTGCATCTTTCAATTAACTCCTATGTCTTCATCTGCACTGTCTGACCAAACATCTTTTGACTGTTCTGGTTCAGATATTGGCCAGGCAGAAGTTCTCTTTCATGCATTGGTTGACCTCTGTACTAAGGGTTTATGGGAACACACAGTCTTGCTCTCATTGCCAGGCTTCTTGGAAACTTCTAGAGTATGTTTACACATTTCTGTTTTTTAATCTCAACTTATATGTTCTACTCTGATAGGCAGCACTTGATGTTGTTGTGTCTGCTGATCCCTCCTGACTGGACCAGTTGACTCCATCCCTCTGCAAGCTTATGGGCCCTTATTGGTGCACAACAATGGAATTAACAAAATCTCATAAAACTTGTTCTTCCAATCCCCTCCTTTCCACTCCTGCTTCTCGGAATACAGCACCCTCACTATCTAATGTCAGAAGCTCCTGCTCTGCTGCCTCCCATGCCATTACCTCCCTCCCATAAATTCCATTTCAGTCAGGTGTCCAATTCAATTCTGCCTATTCAAAATGGTCTCCCTCAGTATGTCGTCTCATTTGCTGTCCTTCTGATTCTCATCTTTTCTAATACAGAAGGTCTTCAACGTTGATTCCCTCTCCTGTTGATGCTGTTCATGTCATCCATTCATCTGCTGTCCCTGTTTTGTCCACAGGATGTCACTTACCTGTAGATGGTACACTGCATCATACTGTGAGCTTTATTTGGGTGAGGTCATTATCTGATTGTTCTCGGTTGACACGTGGTTCTAGACTTCTTTTGGGTTTCATTCAGCATTTCCACCAATATCTCTGGAAGTCCCGTCAGTCAGTGGGATCAATTTACTAGGTACCATTGATAAGATCTACGAGGTCAGTATCTTCTTACTTTAGTTTGTTCTCAGACAACATGTTGTATTTAGGCTTCCCATTCTCCTGGCAGGGGTGAACTTGATCAAGTATGTAGTGGGCCCTCATCTCCAGTTCTGCTTCTTGGTTCTTCATTGGCAGGTTTGGCCTCCCAACCCCTTCCCAGTTTGGCACTTCCCAATCCCCCTTGTAACCCTTCTCCCATACACAATGTATGTTTTCCTTTTTGGGCATGTTTTACTGTCGCTCAACTTCCACCAGACCTGCTGATCCAACCCAAGAGGTGTCTGAAATGTTGGTCCAATGGGTGGTGTGCGTGAACTTGCTCAGAAAGGGGGGGACAAGATAGGGGAAGTCAGTAGAAACATGGGAGTCAGCTTGTAGCTGAGCTATCAAAAGTCAGTACACAATAATTGGAGCTCAGTGTCTGTCTAGTCAAGTCATGATAAATCAAGTCAAATCTGCTAAGTCGAGTCAAGTCTGCCTATCCAGCAAGGGGATAATCGGATCTGTATAAGTCTATCCAAAAAGGGGCAGAATAAGCTAGATACAGGAGTTTCTGGAAGCTACTTATACTAGCTACTAAAACCCATACTCTATACTAATCTGGTCTCTGGATACCTCTCCTAGGCAGGCATTGGCATGCCAAATATCTGTGTGGGTCGATCCCATTGCAGGGGAAACCCGCAGTCATCATGCTGAATATCAGAGGGGTCCCATTGCCTGGGAAATTGTAGTAGTCACCTTGCCAAATATCCAGGGGGGTCGAGACTCATCACTGGGGTGCATTGTCCTGTGTTGCAAGGGTCCATAGTGCTGTGCAACAGTCTCTAAGGCCCAAAAATAACCATGGGAATATTGGCCTGACACACCCCACTGGAGGTGGGGTTGTTCACTGCTATTCCCTCCAGAAGGGCAAGCATCCAGTTTTGGATTCCACATCCATTCGAGTACCATCTCACTCTCCTGCAAGTGCCGAAGGTCAATCTATGAGCCATATAAAACACATGGATGCCTTGCCACAGAACTTCATCAGTATTCTTTTTTTTTGTTCGAGTTTTCTTTGTTTTCACCTTTGCACAAGCCATCCATTCATGGTTTAGTATCCAGGTTTGGTGCAGGGTCAGTCATGGAGGATGGCTTAGTAGATTGGGTTGATATTCTTTCTATGGATGAACTTGAGGTCAGCATGCTACTTATATCTCTTGCCTTGGGTTTTTCTCATCCCTTTGGTTGCAATTTTTAGATGATATCCTCTAATGGATGCCCTCTTTTTGGAGTTCAATGGGTAAGCATTCACTTTGTTTTTGTCTCCATATTTCATTTTCTCAACACATTTACATTACAGTGTGAACATTGTGCAAAGAAGTTCCTTCATCAGAAGAAAGACTTGGTTCCTTTGTCTCAATGCGTCTATTGCTCTGGTTCCCATAAATATAGTAGGAAGTCAGGTTATGGCTGTGATCAGTGTAGGCCATGCAACATTCCCTGCTCTTTGCAGAGAGGTTCATCATTCACTCAGTTGCCTTCTCTATATTTACTCTCTTTTAGACACTAGGGTAGCCTCAGCAAAGCTGTCAGATTCTACTAGCAGCAAACCTGCCATTGGATTGTTGTTGCCAAAGTATGATGTCATTTCTAGTCCTTCAGGTTCCTCCGTCCCAGAGGGGGGGGGGGTTCTCCCTCATGGTATGCTCTATTTGGTATGATTGATTTACTTTGACTAATGGTTCCTCAGTTGCTGTTTCATCTTCTGTCCCCCCTCATGTTTTAACTGTGCTTGTCAGTATAGTGGATGATATCATTGCCAGTGCACAGAGTGCCAGGAATGGTTTGCTATCCATGGCTTCACAGACTGACTCTGTTGTGTTGACTCAATCCACTGATCTAATTGGACCAAGATCCTAAATTCTGATCATTCCTCCTTTGCAGAATGTTGGTTTCCATCTCGGCTTTCGGCTTCAATCACACTGTTTGTTTTGTTTGGTATGGTGGCCTTGGATGTTCCTTAATTGTAGTGGTGTCTATCTGGTTTCGCTCATTACTTCATAATCATGATTTTTTATGGGTTTGTGGTGGTTGTAGTTCTAGATGATCTATTTATTTTGGTTTTGTTGAAATGTTATGTGTTTGTGGTCTCATATGCTTTCAATGTGGCTTCATCTAAACTTCTAAGTTGGTCATCCTCTATCCTGAGATATTCACTTGCATGTTGTGTGAATAGTTTGGTATCAAACCCTCTGAGGAGGCAGATAGAATCTTGCCCCCAGCTCCTCAAAAGTGGAACATACACATTGAAGGGAGTGATACTTCCTGTTGGTGGAGTTGCAATATCCACAATCACTTTCAGGATAGTTTGATCTTGCAATCAATAGTCAGTAAAGGCATATGCAGCAGTCATAGGAAGCTGGGTTCTTGTCACTGTCAATGTCTTTCCATTAGGCATTGTCATTTGGAAAACCTTTCTTGTGGGTGTGATCAGTATAACACCTTTGGGGAGTCCTGGCAGTGTGGCAGCCTTTGTCTGGTATAACTTCACTAATACATATGCTGGCAGGAATTGCAGGTGAATCTTGCTTGATCCTTCATCAATGGGTGTTTCATTTTGATTTGGCTTTATGAGGTATATGATACCTCTCGATCTGTTTGCTACATTGATTTCTGTCTGCACATTGAGGGTCACCATTACCTCCATGCCAATTGCCAATGGTACTCATAATGGAAGGCCCCCTTGCATTTTGTTGCTAGTATGTACCATTGTTGCCTCATCAAAGGCTTCCCTTTTATCATATCTTGAGCATAGGAGTATGGTATAGGCTGTTTGGTTTCTTGGCACATCCTTTGAATTGCCTGTTCATTCCATAGATTCCATATGCTGTGTTGCAGTGTGGCTAAGATTGCACTCTTCCATTTGGATTGACTTCCCTCTTCATCTTCTCTGCTTATGCCCAAGCTTTTTAGCATCTCAATATTCCCTTCAGTACAAATTCCCATTTGAGCTCTCCTCAAGAACCTCCCCCATATCAGATCTTCTATTTGTGTTCTTTCAGTATCACAACTGTTGAGAACTGCTTGTGAATTTGTTGACCAATTTTCTCCTCTATGGTGTCATATGTCAGGTTGACAGGCATGAACAATGCAGCGTTCCATCTTGATGCTACTGGGGCAAATTGATGGAAATCTCCTGCTATGATAACATTGAGTCTGCTGAATGGTAGATCAACAGGTGTGTTTGGGTCAGATGCTAATTGTGCAGCAGATATGTGAGCTGAAATTCTCGCCAGGAAGGACTTCAATACCATAGACACTTTGTCTATTATCAGATAGTGAACTTCTTTCCAAATTTTGGCCAGCTTGTCTGTAGAAAGCTGATGTTTGCTTTTTGCTTTGACTGGAATCATGCATATTTGATGAAGGGTTTGCCCATCAATCAATGATGCTGCAATACCTGTGTAGGCCACTTTCATGAGTGCGTTGTGGTGAGAGGGAGAACTGAACAGCAGGCTGATTGTTTGTATAACTCTTGACTTTCCAGTCCCTCCTTCTCTGTAGAGCCCCATGAGGTTGTTTTGGCTGAGATCCTTGATACATGTCTTCAATGTGCTTTCTCACAATATCATATGCCCTCCTTTGGTCTGGTTTCAGCTCTTGTAGGTTGGCAGCACTTAGCATGTCTTCTATGTTGTTCTTGACATTGCACAGCCAACTTGTCTCTGGATTTAGGAGTTGATCTAACAGCTGGACCATTTGGTACACCTCAGACATTACTGATGTAGTTGGTGCATGATGCTGTTCTTCTGATGGAGAGTCTAAGCATTCCAGCCACTTAGTTGCATCATGTCTTCTTTGGTTGCTGCCATGATTTTACAGGGATCACAAATCCATTGCAAAAATGACTCCAAATATTCTGGCAGATTTTGCTATGAAGATAGCTTCTTCTCCATGTCTTCTATCTCAATCAGATCCTTCTCTCATTTGTAGTGTAACAAGATCTTCTTCTGTCAGGCCATCTGTATGCATGGGTAAAGTGGATTTGAGAAGATCTTCTACTTCATCCTCTTCATTTGCTGTTCTTCTGCTTGCCAAACCTGTTGTATTTTCTTCATTTGCTCTTGTCTGGCTTTTGTGCAGGAATTGGAAGTTGCTCAGTATTTGCAAAATCACTGGTCGAGCTAGGCTGAGGAAAATACAAAATGCATCCATCCATGATTGACCATCAGGTTGAAGGTCTGTTGATGTTCTCCAGGGTTTGAGTAACATCATAGAGAATGCACAGTAGTAGTCCATCTTGTCTTCATTGTTGTCTGTAGAAGCTCAGTAGTGTGTTGTGACCCATGCATTGGATCACTTGGCTATGGGTTGAGGTGTGTTTGTATGATGATAAATACTCAGCTCTTTGGTTCCAAACCTGTTGGTTATCCCTCTTTGGATCGAATGCTACCTTCTCTTCATATGATTCCACCATAAATTCCAACAAGTTCCATGTGGACATTGTGTTTCCTCTGTGTCTATATTGTTTGATATGGCTGTCCTTGCTATATGTCCTGAGTCAAATGGTACTAGTCATATATGATCCTGATGCTTGTGTCAACTTCATCAGAATATCAGATGCCTCCTCTTACCTCTCCACCTGCTAATGGTATATTTTGTTGGTCAGAAGTTTCTTGGTTGGTAAAAGTATTGTTATGTACAGCCTTGTTTTGTTCTCCAGTAACTTCTGGCACTCCTTGTCTGTCATCCTCGGAATGTGTTGGTTCTCTATATGGGCTCTTTTTGTCAACATTATTTTCTCCAATTAATTCTATGCTGTGTACCTGTTGGGCAGGAATTCTGGGTACATGTTAAGAAGTTCCTATCTGATAGTGTTGAGGTGGATTTTGATGTAATTATGGGATTGCCATATGCTGCCCCATCCCATGATGTAAGATACACATTGGCTGGCTGCTTTTTCTTGCTCTCGGTTAAGTACATTGAAGCACTGATATATCATCAGACAGTTTTGTTGGTGGATATACTCCATGAGACACTGGTCTGCAAAGTGATATGCCATCCTTTGTGCAAGTATACCCATCACATTATATGATTTTCCTTGTTTCTTGAGTGCGTAACATGCACAGTACCACATTGTGTCCTTTGTTTTGTATCCATTCATTTGGAGTTTAATATTGTGGTTACACCTCATCATTCTTCCAACAGATGGATTCCAGCTGTTCAAGTACCCATTTTTCCTCTGTATACCCCATGAGCTGGTCTCCATAATGTAGTCTATTTCAGAGAGTGGGAATGGGGCCCTATGTTTGCACTTCAAATTTCTGTGCTTGTCAGGCCATAAACATGTATTGGTATTGCAGGCATGAAGCTGATAATTCCTTGCTATATGCAGTTCATGCTTGTGTGCTGCGTCTCAAGTTGAATCAGAATTGGGGCACACTGGCCTGGAGTATCCAATATCATTTTGTTTTGGTATTGCCATAATATGTTTGGGCTCCAGTCCAGGCAGATGCCCTCTACTGTTTGCTGGAGATATTGTGTCATGCACTGGCAAAAGGTGCCATCAAGGAGAAGTTGTTTCGTTTTGGCCATGCTGGGTGCATTAGACAACCAGATAAGGAAATGACAATGCAGTGTCCCTTTGCCTTGTGTTTCCACAGCTCTGAAGTATGCTGTTACTTCACTCAGGATCCCAGTAGATTGCTCAATTTTGTGTCCCATTTTGCATGCCAAGTATCTCCCTCCTTGACTGGTTATACATACTCCACTACCTCCTACTCAATTGATACAAAAAAGACATTGCATCATTGAACTGATGATGTATTGGAAAAACTTTGCAGCTGCATAGGGATCTTGTGCAATGATCTGAGCCCTTTTTGATGTGTTCAGTCCAATAGTACTCAAGAAACAGTTCATATTGATATCTTTGCCAGTGAATACTTGTGCAAGAGGATTGTGCAGATCATTAGGTGTAATAGTGAACCATAGGTTTGGAGGTGCAAGGTACACTGCAGTTCCCCAGATCTGGCTTCTCAAGGCTATGCAAGAGCTGTCAGAACCCATAACACATCCTGCGAGTGCTCTAAGCTGTTATTTCAAACTGTTGATTGCTGGATTGCTAGTTCTCCCTGTTGACTCCTCTTCTTCTGTGGCACTTTGGAGCCATTCAATAGTCACAGTAGATAAGAGGTTGGATGCTTTTTGAAAGTCTGTGTGCCTTATTTGTATCCATGCAGAGGCCATTGCCTCATGCTTCTGAATTATCCCAAATGCCACAAATATCCAGGTGTTATTTTTTCTGAAGTGTCTGTCATGATACTGTAACATCCATCTTGCATGCTCCATGAATGATACTTTCCTTGGCTGGTCATCTTCTGGGTCTCCTTCCCTGTAAGGGAAGAGCATTATGAATGTGACCGCAAGTGGGTTTCTATTGATTGGTGATACTTCTGTTGATGACTCTGACTGTCTGAAGTCATTGACAGGCTTTTGACTGTGTCTGACAGCATACACTCCTTCTTTATTCTCGGAATCCATGTTGGATAGTGTGTGCAAAAGGACTTCCTTAGCAGTTGATGATCAGTATCTTCTACTCCCAGCAACCGAAGGGGGACTACTGTGATATCTTCCTCCTCTCCTTCTGCACCTTGATAAGCCTCAAGCAAGTCCTTGCTGATAAGTGCTTCTCACCTATTTCCTCTCCTATTCTCTCAGGATTGTAGGCATTGTTCTCTCAATCTACCCCTAAGGTACTCTGATCCTCTTGTACTATACCAAGAATCTCTTGAGGTACAGCATCTTCAGGAAGGCTATTTATCCTTTCTTGGGCTGCAGCAGTCTCAAGTACAATGTCTCAATAAAATTGGTTGTGCTGTTGTAGCCAATAAAGGGCATGCAGGACCACATCCCTTCTGTACAGTGAAGGTTTTCTTCAGCCAATCTTTTTTGACATCCTCCAGCTTCATGAGTCCAATAAATGATATTGCTATCACAGAAGATAGAACTCTCATTGGTCTTGGAAACAACTTTCCCTCCAGCATCCCTGCAATTTCATCTTGGCTGATAGAGTACAACATTACATTCCCTTGCATTCCCTTCCTGAGAGTGTTTGTATCCATCATTCCCATCTGGCATTTGTGTTTTGGGAAAAGGGTGTATTGAAACACTTTTGGGTAATGGTGAGATATAAGCATCATTTCCAAAATGGTGAGCACTTGTAATTCAAATGGTGGGTTGCCAATCCACATATTGTTTGATAGAGACCAAACAGGGTGGTCCCCAACAAGAAGATCTTCTTTACATCATTGACACAGCCATATGTGGTCTCCTTCCATTGCTGACTAGGCTACTAGTTTGCTGTCTCTGAGGTTGCTCAAATGTGCTTCATGTGGAAAGCATGGTGAGAGAAGTTCTGAGTTAGGGACATCCTTGAACTCAAAAGTCTTCATCTTGCATCTGAAGAATTTGCCAGAGCAAGAACAGCAGATTTTGGTGCATATAGCTTCATTCAAAGTTGAAACTATAAAGTCTTTCTTACATTGATCAATCATGTCAGTGTCAATAGTGGCCAAGAATCATTCAAGATTGGGTTCTGGGTTTACTGGGGGTTCAATGATCTTGGTAGAGGTGTTCTCAAAGAAGTGCCACTTTACAGGTCATGTATTTGTTTCATCCAACTTTTGCTTTTGTATTGCTAACAATTCACCAGCTCTTTGTTGCAATGCTTCATGAACTTCTCTTGGTGTCTTTAATATCTCTTCCATCATAACACTTTTGTTTCTTTGAGCTGCTCAACTGAATCTGATGTTTGGTATGGCTGATATTATGTCTTTCATTGACATTGTTGGTATGATGTCTTCCATCTGGCTGTCTCTCTTCCCAATCGTCACTTTGCAGTATGTTCTAAGCAGAACTGGCACTCTGTTTGGACCACTTACAGACTTTCCCTATTCAGTTTTGTGAATAATATTCAGTTCATGTTCAATGCAGTCAAATCTAGATGAATGTTTGTTTTTCTGTCCATGGATTGTCATTCCCTTGAATGTATGGATATTCTTGGAAGAGGCATAGGTTGCATCTCAAGGTCCTGCATCACCTCCATCTATTGCAGTACCAATATTTGTGTGAAGTACCACCAATGAACAGACCTATAACACAACTTCTTTTCTGTATCTTGTTAGGGCAACACAGGCTGACTAAGTCTGCTCACCTAAGAGTGCCAAGAGTCTAAGCAGGCAACAAGGAAGTGGAGTAGACCTGATGACTAAGACCTATCTACAGTATAGGTACCTGTGGATGATCCTAAGAGAC